TCTAGCCTAATCCCTTTCCCTCTACCCTAATCCCTTTCCCTCTAGCCTAATCCCTTTCCCATCTCCACAAAGTCTGCCTTTCCCATTACCTATCATCTACCTTTTCTTTCCTCTTTAAATTATTTATACGTTGGCTTGCTCATATAACAGAAACCATGCAACATTTAATATTGTGTGCCTGATTTATTTCACTTAGCATTACGGTGTCAAGATACATCCATTTTTCTACAAATTACTCAAATTTATCTTTATTTTATGGGCAAGTGGTATGCCATTGTGCATATATATTACATTTTCTTTATTTGTTCATCTGTGGATGGGCATATAGGCCACCTCCAAGATTTTGGTATTGTGAACCTAGCTTAGGTTCCCAACAGTAACATAGAAAGCTACCCTTATCCACATAACCTAGACAGCAGCTTTTGTTTTTTTCTTCTCTTCTGTTCTTGATGATAGCTATCCTTCTGGAGTAAGAAGGAAACTCAGTGCATTTGTTTGTTTCATTATTGTTTGAGACTAGCAGTTTCTCTAGCAGTTCAGACTGGCCTTGAACTCACTATGTAACCAGGCTGGCCTTGAACTCATGACAATCTTCCTGCCTCAGCTTCTTGGAGAATAGGAGTACAAGAGTGTACCACCAAGCCTGGAATCAGTGTTCTTTTTCATTTTTTGTTTATTTGTTTATTTGATACAAGGTCTCGCCACACAGTTTGGACTTGTAGTGATCCTCCTGTTTCAGCCTCCCCAGCGCTGGGCTTATAGACATGCTCCACTACATTCAGTTTAAGGTCCAGCACAGCATGCCTGGGTTCTAGAGATGGTAGTATGCGGTACCAGGGAGGGAACTCTGATCCTTGCACTTGCCAGGCAGGCATTGGGACTGCTGAGCTATCCAGCCCCCTCAAGGATGTTTTTTTTTTTTTTTGGGGGGGGGACCAGGGATTGAACTCAGGCCCTTGCGCTTGCCAGAGAAGCGCTTATTCCACGGAGCTATCTCCCCGGCCCCAGGGTTGTTTTGATTTGCATTTCTCTAGTGACCAATTATGCCGAACATCCTTTCATATACATATTGACCATTTGTATTTCTTTGTTTGTTTTGCCAGGCAAGCACTTATTCCACTGAGCTATCCCCCTGGCCCTATATATCTTCTTTTGATAAACATTTATTCATTTCAGTTGGTCATTTTTATTGTATTTTTTTACTCGAGGATCTATGTTTTTGAGTTCTTTACATATTCTAGATGTTAATGTTTTATCCAAAGCGCAGCTGGCAAAAATTTTACCCCATTTTCTACATCGTCTCTTCACTTTGTTGGTTCTTTCTACAAAAATAAATTGCAGAAGATTTTTAATTTGATATAACCCCATTTGTTGATTTCTAGTGTTATTTTTTGTTTGACTTGTTTCTTTTTCTCTCTTTCTTTTTTAATGTATTGGGTACAGGGTCTCCTCACACAGCTTGGACTCGTAGTGATCCTCCTGTTTTCAACCTCTGCAGTGTTGGGATTATGTGTGTTACCACCACGCCCAGTTTCTGTGGCTCACTCAGCACACCAGGGGGTGGGGCCTGATCGAACCCCAGTCCCTGAACGCTGGTCCCTGTGCTTGCCTAATGGGACACTTAGTTTACTGAGCTATCACATCAGCCCTTGACTTATGTCTTATACACAAAGTCCTTGTCTATGCCTTCAAGAGTTTTACCTATTTCATCTTGTAGATTAAAACAAATGCTTTTAAAAATAGTGCCTCAAATCTAAATGGGCTTTTGGCCCTTTATAACCAGCCAAGTATCACCCATATGGTGAGGAAATGAACACAAAGAAAACTTCTGTTGGGAATTGGGAATCTGCCTCAAACTCCTGTCATGTCTGCCTCTAATTTGTGGTCTTACTTTAGCATATCTAGCCACAGCAGGCTAAGTAGTAATGATTTCCTCTCCTGTTCTTAGCTACCATGGATCATGTTGTGTAATTGGGGGCTTTGATTCCAATTTTCTTCCAAATATCTTTTCTTTTTCTTCTTTTATTTACAACAGTGGAGATCATGCTGTCTCAGAAGCAGATGATAGGTAATCTAGGAACCATAGTTACTGTGGTCTCTGCCTCTCTCCTGGCAGCTCTGCCTCTCTTGGCCTGGCCTATCTATGTTTCTAGTCAATATTCCACAGGAACCATAGGATATAAGTAGATTCTACTATCCTATTGGGCCCAGGTTTAAGAGCCACTAGTCAGCCTATGAATGGGATTTGCCTTAGCTCAGTGTGACTGAGGCAGTTCAGAAAGTAGACTTCTCACATTTCTGAGGGCAAGAGTCATTAAAACCTAATGGGAGGGGCTGGGGAGATGGCTCAGTAGAATAAGTGCTTCCCTGGCAAGCGCAAGGACCTGAGTTCAATCCCCAGTTCTGCAAAAAAAAAAAAAAAAAAAAAAAAAAACCCAAACAAACAAAAACCACCTAATAGGAGACTGGGTGTGGTGGCACAGGCCTGTAATCCCAGCTCTTGGGAGGCTGTAAACAGGCAGATCACTACAAGTCCAATCTAGTAGTAAACCCTGAATACCCTGTAGACCCTTCCCTAAAATAAAAAAAAATAAAAAAAAATAAAACTAATGGGATGTTCCCCTTTCCCTCTATTCTTGGGTAGTAATAGGCTCAGTGAATATCACTAATGGGAGCCAGAATTGGACTGGCAGACTCTGGAATTGATGGTCTAGTCTGGTTTTGCAATTGGAATGAAAAAAACAAAATACCAGAAATCGGCAATTTCTTGTTGTGTGTTACATAATGTTGATGTAATCTTTAGTTTTGTTTTGTTTTAATGAATAAAGGTACTGTCCTGATAAGGTAAAAGATTTCCATCTGCATGAGATATTATTACTGTCATAATCTTTTTTTGGGGGGGGTTTATTTATTTATTTATTTATTTATTTTTGGCAGAACAGGGGATTGAACTCAGCCCCTTGTGCTTGCCAGGCAAGCACTTATTCTACTGAGCTATCTCCCTGGCCCCAACAGTCATAATCTTTAGAAAGAAAACAATTTCCCAAGTTCATACATAATTCAGCATTTATCATGTTCACCAATTAGTGCCCTGGGATAAAAATAGGACAGTTGCTATAGTTTGTACCTAGATGTTCCCCGCCAAGCTTCAAGTATTTTTTTCAGAGCTGTTTGGATGCAGGTTGTGTGATACTGAAATAAAGGATGTGTGGTACTGTTAGCTCACTGATTGGGATTAGTATAGTCCTGTTTGCGGCACAGGGCATTTATTGAGGACAAATTGCCTATCCTGACTGTGAATTGCACCAGCCCACAGGCTTGTATGCTGGATGAAATATAAAGAGGAAAGGGGCTGGTGAGATGGCTCAGTGGTCTAAAGCACCTACTTAGAACAAACTTAGCAAAGCACAGGGACCGCGGTTCAATCCCCCAGCACCACACGCCAGCCAGGGCCGCCCCCTGGTGGGCTGAGCTGGCCACACACACACACACACACACACACACA